AGAAACCTTTACAAATTATTACAGCCATAGACATTTAACCCCCAAAAGTCTTTGGTTTAACTTTGCACCCAAACAATTGCCCTTTAAACTAGGACAAGGTAGGCCAATCCACCCAGTGGCTGGCGGGGCTAAGATGCTATGTGGTACAACCACAATAACATGAAAAACAATGTCTCAACTTCCATGTGTCAAAGGCTGGAAGGGGACACGGGGAAAAGCCACGACCCTTCTTTTCCAGTAGAGTGGCTCTCAGCTTCAATACAGAGCTTCCAAAAAATCAAAGATCATTTCATGCACACGCTAGTCAAAAGGAAATGACCACCCTTGTTCTTGAACAGGGTCTGGATTTTAACAGATGGACTGAAAACATTCTGCCCACCAGATATTCTTAATCCCCCATGGAACCAGCATCCTTAACTGGGATCGGCCGCCATTGGGGAGAATTTAAAATCAGCTTTTAACAAATCAGGACTGTACTTTTTATTGATATGTTATCAAATTTCTGTTCCGTTCCATTGTGTGTAATGCTATTATATGTTTCACTGAATTTTTACAATGACACTTTTTGACTTTTTAAAAAATCTCACTTTTTCATTTGTACCTATATTTTATCTTGCTATGTGCCAATCCGGGCCCTAGTTCTGGAAGGAAAGTGGGACAGAAATCAGTCAATAAATATGTTGATAAAAGTAACCACTATGTGCTATTGAGAAACAGGTCAATAAACATTTAAAAACAGGGTTAAGTTTAAGGAAGTATGCAGGTAGACAGGGCTTTGGGCCATACTTTTGAGAACTTTCTAGGTATCTTCTCCGACTAGAATCCTCCACATGCTTAGCTTGGCTCAAGGCATATCAAAACAAAATAGAGTTTATTTCTAGGGAAATCCTGTGTTGCAAGGATCACACTGTGAAGGTCAAACTATGAACCACATTAGTAGCCCATAATCTGAAGCAGAGTTCCCTTCAGAGGAAATTTCCACCTGTTTCTCCTACCATGAGCTGGCCTCGCTTCGCATGTTGCACATCAGCTTGCTTCTGCTGCGGGATTGGACACCAGGAGGTAAAGGTGGCCTTTGTTTGCAAGTCTGATTGCTTCGTCATGGAGCTCTGAAGGCATTACGTGCCTTAGAGGAAAACTGGGAGCTATCACAGGAAATAGACATCTCCTTCAATGTCTCATTTGGCCCTCATTCTTTCCTGCTCTCTCACTGTACAGCCCCTTCCCAAACTCTCTCAATGTCAGGCATAGACAACATGGCAGTAGACTCAAAGTGACATTTTTGTCCTCAAAACACCAAAATAGAAACCAAAAGTGCCCATTTGGGCACTTCCTTTTTCTTGCCATTTCCAGCCAGTTTGGGGTCAAGACTTGGGCTCCCTTAAGCTTATCGAGATCACCTACTCCTGATTAAGATTGGGTTATTTAATTATTTCTTCATTTTTGTCCCCTAGTCTGCTATTTTCCTGTGGGACAAAAAAAATCCTTACAAACCCAAATAGTTTTCCCAAAGCTGGGAAAGAATATTCCCTGTTTTACCAGCATCACAGTCTGGGCTATGAAGGAGTTTCGGTTCCTTGTCTGATCTGTGGCTTTGCTATTTTCCCCCCTCTCACTTCTGAAACACTTGCTTATATAGGAAGGGAGTTTTCTGTGAGCATCTGAGGTAGACAGAATGCCAAATTCAACAAAAATTTAACATGGGTTTTGAGAATAAGCATTGTGTGGGTGCTTTGTATACTCAGTTCTACTGTATGGCAGGGAACGGTGGATGTTCGTGTAGGCGATTAAAAAGCAGAGAAGCATTTGAAATGTGGATTCATTATGGAACGGCAAGTATTTCCCCCCATTGAGAAGAGGACCAACGAAGAATAAAGCGAAAGAATAAAGACGAAGGAATTAGAAAAAAATAAACAATAACGGATTAGAAGAGAGAGCCGTTTGTGCACCCCATAACCCCTAACTTAACCAGCTGCAATTTTGTCGAGAGAGATGTCTCCCGTTCAGAAAACTCAAACGACTCCTCAATTGAGCTTCTGTTTTTTTTTTTTAAGTTTGGGGTGAGGATCCATATCTTGGAAAAGTGACTTTTCTTTTTGCATGGCCAGAAACAGCCCACCGGTATAGTTACGAATGGGGCATTTCTGTGAGTCATAGCTTAAAGTGTGGTGTTCTCCTCTGCCTCAGGCAGCAGCGTTTTTCGGGTCGGCCCCACCAGGGATAAAAATCCATGCCTTGCCAGCTGCGCAAGGCGCTTTCACAGCCGAGGCGGCGGAAGTGGCTCTGCCTTGGCCGACAGAGGCTCAGGAGCCTCCACAAGTACCCATTAAGACGGAGAAAAATGTATTTTTTATCCCTATTGGTATCTAAAGCTGAAAGGGCTGTGTTTTCACCCCACCTAGTCGGGCAGGCATGAACAAGCTTCGCCTCGAGAGAGAGTAAGCTGTGGTGACAGACACCGTGAGGTATAACCCGACTTCCTAGCCTGAGGTTTGCAAAAAGAAGAAGTTTCCCTCACAACGTCCAGCTTCAAAGTGGAAAATTTGAAGGGAAAAAGTGGTGGGTTTTTTTCCCCCTCCAGGACCGACGTGACCACAGCTGTGAGGGCCACGTGGGCCACTTACCTTGGTCAAGAGGCTTGAGGGGGGACAGAAATGTGGCAAAGGACAGGGTGAAGCTCAAAATGCCCCTTTTCCTCCATAAAATGAGAATCAGAGTGAGCAATGTTTAACTACAATGCCCATCAGATGACAAGGACGACGATTAATGTACCAGACACAGTCAAATCAGAATTATAAAAACATTGACCAGTACTATATAACAGATACAAGTTTTAACCAAAAACCTACAGATCTGTTAAATATCAGCACAGGACGTATGCTGTTCTTAATACTGCTGTTTTTTGTAGCTTTGATGGGTGTGATTTCAGAGACCTGCAGCTGCTTATAATACAGTGGTGCCTCGCAAGACGAATGCCTCACACAACGAAAAACTCGCAAGATGAAAGTGTTTTGCGATTTTTTTGGTGACTTGCAAGATGAATTTTTCTATGGCCATGCTTCGCAAGATGATTTTTTCCCCCTTTTTTGGGTTTGTTTCAAATCCCATAACTGTTAGTACGAAATTTCGCAATACGAAATTTTTGCAATATGACACGACTCGCGGAATGAATTAATTTCGTCTTGCGAGGCATCACTGTACTGTGTGAAATTTCTCAATGTTGTTCCCCAAAGCCCCCCCCCGACTATGGGGATCATGGAAGTGTGTTTCATCCACAAGCAAGCTGTTGATGATGATCATTATCATCATTAGTCATTATGTCTGCTTTACCACACTAATGGCTACCTTTGTGAAAATTCTGGCCAAAAAAAGAGATGACCCTTATTGTTCCCATTCTACAGATGGGAAAACTGAGGTGATGGGTGACCGGGGAACCCAGCCAGCCCATCACAGACGGGAGGATCCGTTTGGCCAGAGTTTCCTGTCGGAAATGTGATTATTGTCACCCAGGGCTGTTGCTAGGAAATACAGCTGTGTGATTGAGTGACCAGCAATCCCCACCCGTTCTTTATGTGTTGGTCACACCACTCTGTATTGGAATGACATCCTGGCGGGGTGAGGTACCTGGCCGGCCGGACACTCACCCTCTGGGCGTGGTGAGGATGAAACCAATCTCTGGAATGCAGCCGGACCGAAAATACGAGCAAAGCTCCCCCCTCCACCACCACCACCCCCCCGTTGTTGCAGGTGGAGTCATCGACAACGATGCTGCGTTCATTGCGCTAGGAATGCATGAATGAGTCCCACAGGTTGCAAAACGGCTGAAGTTCCCAGACGCACACAGCCTCTTCCACTCGTGCGGCAGAACCGGGAGGTGGTGTCTCACCCTCGGCTCGGGCCGCTCGGCTGGGTTATATTTAGCCCGCTGGAAGGGAGCGTGAGAGCGTGCAAAAACGCAAGCACGCCCTGGGAAACCTTTCGCACAGAAGAACGCCGAGGAGAGCAAGCCCGGGACAATATTCGGTGTGTACAGAAGGTGTTGTAGGTGAGCCCCACATCTGTGATGGGCCGGGTTGGTTGGTTTCATTTAATTTACTTTAATTTAATTGATGTGCTGCTTTTCTCCCCGTAGGGAGAGAAAAAAGGCAGCTCACAACAATTAAAATGATAGAATGTGAACAGGTTTTAAATACTTACAAAACCCACCAAAAGTACCCTCTTGCCAGAGATGGTGGTGGGAATGGAGAAGACCCTCCCCCCCAAAATGCCCAAGACTGGAAAGTGGGGACGATTCATTCATTCATTCATTCATTCATTCATTCATTCATTCATTCATTCATTCATTCATTCATTCATTCATTCATTCATTTTCTATACCACACCATCCTAGTGACATGCTACTACTCCAGGTGTTAACCAACATAAAGATAAGCATAAACATGACAAAAAACAACTACCTTCCTACTCACATCCCAGTAATACATATATTTTCAAAGTGACTCACAGAGAGCACAAGATAGCAGCCACAGGCAAGATAAAAGATGCAAAAAAAATCTCAACAAAATCATAAAAATAACAATTACAAAGGAAGCAACTACCTTCCTATTCACATCCCAGTAATACATATATTTTTAAAGCGACTCACAGAGAGCACGATAGCAGCCACAGGCAAGATAAAAGATACAAAAACAAAATCTCAATGAAATCATAAAAATAACAATTACAAAGGAAGGATGTCCAGAAAAGCTTCTCTAAACAGCAAGGTTTCGATGTGCCTTCTCAATGTCAGGAGAGCAAGGCCCTGGCGCCCTTCCATCGGTACAGCATGCCACAGACACGGGGCCACCACTGAGAAGGCCCTGCTTGTGGATCTGGCCCGTCAAACCACCCAACGGCTCTGGAAGTCTCCCAACGGACTCCCCCGGTCAATGTGGCTACCAGCACCACTTAGCACATGCTCTCTAGCCCACACGCTGTTCCTCCCTCCCCAACCATCTTACCTGTTCGGTGATAAAGGAGCTGGAGAACGTGATGGCTGACCAGAAGAAGATGCCGCAGCTGAGGATGATCTTCCGGTTGAAACGGTCTCCGAGGTAGCCAAAGATGGGCGCTGCCACCATAAAGCTACAGATGAAAACTGGAGAAGGAAGCAGAGAGGCATGTTGAGCCAGAACTTGCCAAAGTTACATTATGAAAGGGGGTCAATTCCTGTTCCTCGTGACAGTTCTCGAAAACAAGAAAAAAGTATTGTAATATCTTAGGAATGAACATAGATTTTTTTTTAGAGAGAACTTTCACAGATCGGGGCCCATCCCTTCGGACACAGCAGGGCCTACTTTCATCACCGCCATATTATCACTAGTATATACAAAAGTACATATCATACCAAATGTACTTTTCTCAATGTTGTTGCGGAAAATGATGAACACAGCAACCTTTCAGAAGAGGGTTTGCGAAGTAACCCATCCTCATTTGATAGGAACAGAACTCTCTAATAATAATAAATAATCTTAGAGCAGCAGAGCTGGAAGGGACCCTTGAGGATCATCAAGTCCAGCCCCATCACGGATGCATGACTTTTTTTTTCCAACGATCACCATCAAGTTCTGTGAAGCCAATTCTGACTTCCGTTGATCCTTTTCAGAGTTTTCCAGGGAGAGAATACTTTAGCTTGTGCCCTGGAACCATTCGGCTTGCCCGAGGCCACACAGGCTGGCTTTTCTCCCATTAGCCAGAGACTTAAACCACTGGGCTATCCAGCCAGGTATTTTGGCCTATAGCTCTCAGCATCCCCTACCTGGGTGGCCACTGATCTTAAAACGCTGGGAGGGATCTATGAGGAGAAGCTGCCCTAGATCGTCATCCCAGATAAGGGACGTACCTGTTGGGCTTGCAGCCAAATTAACAAGAGCAAGAGATGAAAAGCCATCTTGATCAATTAACTGCATTGATTGATTCAATCTGCATTAGTTCACATGTGAGAACAGGTTTGCAGAATGGGAAGGAAAACCGCATTCATCTGCAAATATATTATTAGGATAGGGCTTACGGTACTCCTTTCAATGTTCAAAAAAGCACTTGATGCTCAAGAATCTGCAGCCTAATTAATCAGCACCTCATAAATTGATTTAAAAATGTGAAATAAGTCACAGTTTTAACTACATTTGCCTAGGACTCAGCCCTAGCAAAGTTACTGGGTCTTGCTCTTAAGTAAACAGGCACAAAGCTACACTGTTCGCCCATCAGGCCAACCTGATAAAAGGATTTACTTCTGAGTAGACACACAGGGGATGTCCGCTTTTAAAGCTGGTTCAGAAATCACTTGGTTTTTACTATTTCAAAATGGAGATGGGATGATTAAAGATAGCATGGGTTGCGATCTTCCATTTGAAAAATAGCGAGGTTGAAAATGATGTTAATTTTTGAAATAAGAAAGAACAGTTCATTAACTTGCCCATCCGGTCAGGATTTAAACAGCATCCAATGAAAATATCTAAAGAACCATAAAATCTGCATACGTTGTCGTCTTATTCTAATATGTTTGGGGCTGAAAGGGATGTTAAATTTTTTTTGCACAAGCTACGTCACATCTGTTTTCTATTTCTCTTATATTTGCATTGTGTGTGTGTGTGTGTGTGTGTTTAATCAGAAGATGTGCACTGATGTGCAATTTGTCATTATAAGGATATCAGGAAAAATCGGTGGCCTTAATGTGGGAGCCGAGGAGAGAAATCTGGAAGAACAAAGGAAAATATGCAAGCAGTGAGACAAAGCCATGACAGAACGTGGATGGCAGAATAATGCCGCTAAGGCCGGCTAGGTGATGAACTTAATGGGGTCTTGAAAGGCGCGTGACGGAGGAACGCTGATTGACTTGCAAACAAATTCAGGAAATGGAGGTGAACCTCTCCAGACAGATTGGAATGCTGGTTCATCTTATGAGGTCCCAATCAATTCCTGTGATTGCGCTCGCATGCGACGGATGAATGACGTTCCAGCGCTGTAGCCTTCCCGATCCTCATCTGTGTAATTTATCTTCTGGTGTTCATCCGTACAGGTGTATATGTAATTTTTTTTCTCATTTTCTTTATGGGTCACATTTATCCTCCTGGGCAAAACAGCTCTTTCTTCCCTGGGAATCCTCAGAACGATGCTGTGATCTTTTGTAAGAATCTTTTTGCAAAGATCACAGAACGACGTTGGGATCTTTGCAACATTTTATCATGCAATTTTATCTCAATAACGTATTTTTAATCTTCCTGGTCATTGAGATAGATAGATAGATAGATAGATAGATAGATAGATAGATAGATAGATAGATAGATAGATAGATAGATAGATAGATAGATAGATAGATAGATAGATAGATAGATAAGGCTATAACCACTATACTACCATTGCCAATCAGGTGCCTTTTACCAGAAGCTCACAAAGTGGGGCACGAGCACAATATGTAGCAAGAACACAGTTGGCTAAAGGGTTTCAGGTGGCCCTACATTGGTGACATCCACCTGTTCCAGAAGGCAGCATTCATTTCCAACCCAAAGGCCTTGGAGGTTCAGCCACCATCTTGAAAACAAAGACGGCTGCCAATCTTTGAACCCTGAGGTGGTGTATGGTCCTTTTTTCAAGACCGTGAGGGTCGCTCACTGGCCAATTCAAGACAGTTGGCCAGTGAGCGACCTTCACGGGCCTGTTTCCATTGAAGTGGTTGTCATGAGAGGAACTTACTAGCTGACCAAGAATAAGCAGCACCGATGTAGCCAACTGGCATGTCAGAAGTTGGAATCGCCTACCTTTGCACTGTCTACGCTGACAGGATTTAAAGATTTTTCAGGCTTTTGGAGACAGGGCCTTCCTAGCCCTAATGCCGATATGCCGATAAAAATGAACAGTATGTAAAATGCAAGAAACGGTCTTGTAAAAAGAATGCAAGCTAATTAAAGCAAAAGAGAAGAACTTTCAGCCTGGATGAGTAAGTGCCACAGTCCCTTGATATGTCCCGAACTTGTCACCAAATGTTCTAAATAATACTTGTATTTTGTCTTTGGTGGCAGAACACTGCACTTGGTCACAGCTACGACTGCTGTTGTGTTTGTTGACAACAGTTGGTTTTGTCAGGGCTATGAAGAAAAGGAAGAAGAGAAAGTCCTCATTCACAGACATTAAAAAGTCTGGTTGTTTCAAAATATCCCAACTGAGGAGATGGCTGAAGCCTATTCACCTCCAATGTGATACGTTACTCCCATTTTAAAAGGTCTTGCTTATTTTATAATGTACTTAAAAATGTATTGGGTTTTTTTGTACTGATTTTTGAATTTCTGTTACATCTTTGGTGTTACGATTATTGTTTCATTTTGTTTTGTAACGTGCCCAGGGTGGCCTTCAGCCAGATGGGAGGTGTACCCAGCCAGCCAGCCAGCCAGCCAGCCAGCCGACCAACCAGCCAGCCAGCCAGCCAGCCAGCCTACCAACCAACCAAC